AAAAAATTACCGAAATTTATAATTAGAAATTAAAATTTTTTTTTTTAATTTGTTATGAAATTCGAGTATAAATTTACATAGGTATTAACTATTAATACATTTAAAAAAAAAAATCATGCAGGTTAATATACTTTTTCTTTATATTTATAACCATTCCATTCAACAGAAGAAATAATTTACTTCAAATAAATAATTTCAACGCGTTTTTACTTTTTTCATAGCCATTTTAAATTTTCAGAGGTAGGTATAACTTTTTTTCTTTTTAAAAGTCGCTCGGGACTTATACCAAATCCGGAAAGCGAAGCGAAAAATATTTATTTATATTCTTATAGATATTTTTTTACTAAAAATAAATAAATCTAATACCAATAATAAAGTGATATAGAGACGATTTAACCACGAAGTATATATAGAAGTTAAACGTTATGAATTTGAAAGGGTCCTTAATGATATGTAACATCAAATATCTGGATTTTACGATAAATAGCACAAATAATAACCACGAAAAAATTTAAGTAATAATTGCGGCGAATAAATGGCATCACGGACTATCACTGGCAGTTAACAGACTGTACGACCGTACGAGTCATGGCCGACAGCAAAAGGAGACGAAGAAATAATAATAATAATCCTAAATAGAAGAATACACTTCTCAGAATTATACGGTTCAAAAAAAAAAAAAAACAAAAACAAAAATCATCCAGCAGTAAGAGTAATATATAATTATATACGACAGCTATACTTAAAGAGCCTGGCGTAGAAACAGTATGCTGAGATAGAAAAATCGCATGGGCCGGTTACTTGAAGACCGAGGTCTGATGGTTTAATGATAACGGTCCAATTATTGAAACCGGCTACTAGGCAGACCGAAACAAAGGTGGGTAGACGAAGTCATAAATAGAACCCAGCGAAAATTGGCGTACAGGACGCAGAGAGACGTTTGCACAGGATAAGGATAAATGGAAGGAGATATGGTTTTGCGGTAATGGGCCTTAATGGCCTCTCAGAAACCGAACGAGGAGGAGAAAAAGAAATGTTTATCGCGAATCTCGAGTGCCCGTTCTTCCGGGTTGAGAATAACAATTTTTTAAAAAAAAAAGGTCAAGTTTATGTATTTTTGCCTCTCTCCCGGCGTAAATGCGCCACTGCTGGTCAAACGCCGCCGCCCGTCCAACGACATTTTGGACCGTTGACCTTTCGTACACTCGCACGTTCTTATATCATTACGCCTGTACGCGAGCGCGAGCGCACTCCCGCGGCACGCGGTAAATACCGCGCTGCTACCAGTCACGACCGTGCGCGGTATAAATACGCAGATAACGACCGGGACGACGGTCCGTCTTCGAGTGGTTTTCGTAATTTATACGACCGAAAAGGACGCGAACGTCCGTGCGTGTGACCGCAACGGTATAAACGGCGCGCCGGCCGAGACACGTCTCCGGCGCGACCGGAATATTAAAACGTTCTCGCGCGCGAGAGCCCGAAAAGGAAACCCGGAGCCCTGCGGTCGCGGCTCGTAAATCTCCGGACCGGCGTTTTTTTCACCCCCCTACTCTCCTCCTCCTCTCTTTCACTCTTTCTTATTTTCTCGCTCGTTATTTTTTTTTTTTTTTTTTTAATACGATGTCCAACGTACACACACTCCACGGACAGCCGTACAGACATGGCGGCGGCGACGATTTATTGACACACGGCGACGAACAAGACACTCATTATCTCGAAAAGTATTGATTTTTTTTCGGAATTTGTTTTTTTATACCATTTACGAAATATGTATATAGCTTCAAAATGTTATATTTCGGTTGTTTTCGTGTCGCCCTAATTTGCAGGGATGAAAACACGACCTACATTTGATTTTCAAATAACCACTTATTTTAAAAATGCCATAAATATACGGGGTATTGGTTTGAATGAATGTTGGCACTGAAATTTCTGATTTCCGTCAACCCGTCGATGAAATATTCCACTTTAAAGTTTTGGTAGGAATAGAGTGACGACGGAACACAATTAAAACGTCACGTGCCGTGATGCCTCGCCTCGCAAATTAACATCACTACTTTTCCTCGGCCGAAACTTAAAAATGGAATATCTCGTCAATGGGTTGATGAAAATTTCAAATTTTAACATCAAAACTGAATCAAACTAATACTTCGTCTATCCATGGAATTATGAACGCAAATTATCGTATAAGTAGTTCTAAAATCTACCATTTTCTTGCATTTTTTTAGCAACAAATTCCGAAAAAAATGAATACTCTCAGTGGTAATGAAATAATCACACGTTATGTCAACCGTCCTGCATAATTTCGTTGTTTATCACCGTCGTTTTACATTCTCGGCCAGCAACGACTCATGTGTTTTGTTGGCGGGCCGACGACGCGACGGTTTCGGTGCGATGTTTTGCGCCCGGGCGCGAATATTCACGAAAACAATACGCTCGCCGAGTTCACACGCACGTTCGTGACTTTTGGCCCGAGTTTAAACCGTTGAAAATTACCGCGCAGCTCGCCAAGTCACATCGCCACTATGCGTTACGAGGTGCTGTCGAATAATTTCGGGACTGTCCGAATGTTGTGCAACCGACGTATTTTTAAAGAGCAGCGGGATTGATACCTTCGGTTTCGGTATTTGTCAATTGCTCCGGATATTATTTTTTTTATGTAAAAAAAAAAAATAATAATAATAATAATAATAATAATAGTAATAATATTGGTAATAAATAAATTGTTACAAATTGTAATTGAATGCTGTTACTTGTTTTGTAAAAAATATATTGAAAAAGCTGTCCTAGGATAACGGGGACGGGTGCAACTACTGTTATAGGTAATTTAATGTAAATCTGTAAGCAACGATAAACTGTTGCTAACGAAAAAACGATTTTGAGCGGAGTTCAGTTGATATTGTTGCTTTTTCAACAATATACATGTCGTACTATGGTAAAATAATTAAAAATACAATAAACAGTTTCTTTAATAATTTTCGTTTAATATTGAACCTATTTGCTCGTTATCCCGGTTTTCCCATGCCGTTTCAATTTATTGGGAAAACTACTGGAAAAATCTAAAAATTACCTCTCTAAAATACCACCCCAGTCAGATTTCCTTTCAGAAAAAGTGCTATCATTGTAAATCGGAACAAAATTGCTGGTAGAAAAGTTGTCCACAGAGAAAAAAAAAAAAATTAACATCATTGTAAAACAAATACATTCCGCGCTCCACTCAGAATCTAAAATATACAAATTCGCATTTTTACATATTTAAAAATGTATCGGTGCAAATAACATATAAATATGTATGACATTCGTATGTATGTGGACAAATTGTATAACATTCGAATATGGATCGACGCAGTTGATGTATACATTTTTTTTATCCCATCATTTTTTTTTTTACCTGCGATTTCCGGCCTAATTGATATATCCCTACCGGTTTCTAGGACTATTCCCGAGGACATCCGGTTTTTGTATACATTCCCTGCGATCTTCTTTGTTTTGATGCAACCGACGTTTTTGTAAAATGTGTTTTACGCATGTCATCGAGTTTGTAACGAATCCAAAGAGTAGCAACTCGACAAGATTATGAGGAAGGATTGGAAAAGATTTTTCAACCGTTTTGATAATACGGGCAATGATTATTATTATTTCAAAAAAAGTTTTTTACCACATTAGTAAATGTTAAAAATTGTTGGTATAGTAATACCAACAAGTTTCTAGTAAATTGAACTTGGATTAGTTTTTGATTCTCGATGTTTCCTCGACATTCTCGATCGATGGGTTGTAGTCTATGATAATGAAACACATTTTATCAATCTGCTATGTGTATAGGTATACAATCTGTCGGTTATTTTAAATTCCGATAGTTCTGTTTAAATTTAATGTACCTACACTTCATTATTACATTTTATTTAAAAGTAACGATGTTATTGACAATAATTTATGTAGTACGTTTTGCGCGATTATTATTATTACTATTGATTTAATAGCAAATTACTATTTTCATTATCAATGCTAAGGTTACCGCATGCATGTAACCGTTATGATAACAAAATAATACGATGTGCTCATCGAGCACACCGAAAACATTAGCCGAAACGCGGCCGAGTTGTATTTAGTTTTACGATGTTTTAAAATCGCGATGTCAAATAATAATGTTTTACGAAAGTGTCAGGAGATTTCACAAATTATTGATATCATCATCGATTCAGATCTGATAGCGCTCCCATTCAGGAAGTCGGTACCCTGCACAGTGTAAATCTAAACATCTAGGTCGTAGTCGATAAAAACCGCGATCACGCGGTCCAGGGCCTATTTATTTTTTCTGTCGTTTCGTGTACGACACGTTTTTTTTTTTTGTCCTGGACAAGCACACCCACGGTGGGCTTTTCGCCCCTTGCACCCCGCTATTCGTCGGCATTGTCGCAATGCCGATGCGCTGAAGGCGAAAAAAAAAATACCGCTGTTTTTACTACAACAGACAACCATTATTAGCATGGCATTTACCGACACCGACGGTGCGTCGTAGTTCAACGGTAGTTTGATGGTTAACTGCAGTTAACCATCAACGATCATCGTATAAGATGTATTTTTTTTAGACAATCTTGTGCGCGTTGCACATTTTATAAGTTTCGGGCTGTATTTCGTGTCACGCGCGCGCGAAACGGCTCCGCGGCGTGATCGCTCGGTCTCGTGAATTCCGCGGGCGTCTGTGTAAACGCGCGAACCGAACGCCGAGACGGAGAAAGTTCGTCACGAAATTCCAACGCTGGGGACGGACGGGGAAATGAATGACGACAAAAACAAAACACCGATATTATAATATTGTCGATCGCGGTCGACGACGGATTCAGTTTATTATTATTATTTTTTTTTCAAATATATTTACACGTTACACAAAAAATTCGCATGTTGTACACGTAATTAACTACACGATAATAATATCATATTGTATTCGATTCAAATATATATATATATATGTATAAATATAAATATTATTTATTATTTTTTTTTTTTTGGGTTTTATATATAATTTTCGGTACAATACATAATGATAAAACCAAATAACGAAAAAAAAAAAAAAAAAAAAAAACAAGGTAACGTAATCAAAATAACAAAATAAAAAAAATGTACATACATACGTAATAAAATAAAAAAGCGTGTCTGTTCTAACAAAAACAAAACAAAAAAAAAAATTCGCATGCGCACAATAATAAGAAAAGGAGCGTCGCCCTATATTTAACGTTAAGGTATTATTACAATATTATATGAATGGAGCAAAAGAAATTTCGCTAACGTCGTGTCTAAATTATACCTAAACGATTCTCTGCTAACGACGGGCCACAATATTATAAATTATAATTATTATTGTTACGCTTTATATAATATAATATAATGATGACACGTTTTTAGGTGTGCGGTGACGTGCCGATTCGCGGCGAGGCCGCGGCGGCCGCTGCGGCGGCGTACGGGGAGTAGGCCACCGCCGGGAAGTAGGGCGGCAACAGGCCCGGGTGCGGTGGCAGGGCCAGCGGCGAGGACGGGTAACCGGACGGGAACCCGTACGGCGAGTGGTGTTTGCCGGCCGTCGCGTACGGGTGGTACCTGTTAGCTACCGCGGCGGCGGACGGGCTCAGCGGCGGCGTCGGGTACGAACGTTGCAAGAGCGGCAACGTGGCCGCCGGGTCAGAGGTGTGCGTGCGTAGGTGTTGGAGCAGCTCGTCGGACGTGCCGAACCGTTTGCCGCAGTACGACGACGGCATCTCGGCGCCCATCCACGAACACACGTACGGTAGTTGGCTGGCGGCTGCGGCCAGCGCGGCCAGTTGGGCGTGCGCGTAGGCCGCGGCCATCGTATGATGATGGTGTTGCTGCTGCTGTTGTTGTTGCTGCTGCTGCTGCTGCTGCTGCTGATGGTGGTGCTGCTGCTGTTGCTGCTGATGGTGGTGATGCGCCGCGGCCGACGCGTGTTGATGGTGATGTTGATTGGCGGCGGCGGTCGTCTTGGGATTCGCGTCCGTGCATTGCGCGCAACCGGCCGGACACGGCGCGGCGGACGTAGGCGACGGCTGCGGCGGTTTGCCGGCGGCCAAGTGAGCGGCCAACTGACACCCGGCGCAGTACGGGTCGCGGCACGGTAACGACGGCGGTGGCCCGGCGGCACCGGGCCTGAAGTACGGGTTCATCAGGGGCGAACCCAGGGCCGCGGCCATGTGATGATGGTGGTGCGGATGCGGGGCCTGGACGTGATGGTGATGCGGCGACGGGTAACCTGCGGCGGCCATCAAGGCGGCCACCGATGCCGCCGACGACGGAGACGGTTTGTGCGGCTGTTCGTTATGCTTTCTGCCGGCGGCGGGCGCGTCTTCCAGCGGCGACTTGCGGCTCGAAGCGCTCTCCTTGCTGCTGCACCTGTCACCGGCCGCGGTGTTCACGGGCGTCGCCCTCCTTATGGTCGCGTCCAGACTAATGGCTGTGGACGTGGTCGTGGCGGCTGCTGCTGCTGCTGCTGCTGCTGCTGCGGCGGCGGCGGCCACTTCGGCGGCCGGGCGAACGACGCACGATTCGTACGGTTTGAAACTCGACCGGGCCGTGGTGGTGATGGCGACCGGCTGATGCGGGTGATGGACGGCCTGCAACGCGCGGCTGGGCGGCGAACCGCTGTTCGAACACGACGACGACGACGACGACCGCGAAAGTGACGGCGAACGTTTATCCCGACCGCCTCCGCCGCCGTGATCGGACGACGACGACGACATGGACGACGACGCCTTTTTGTGATGGTGATGGTGGTGGTGGTGGTGTCCCTTGTCCGCGGAGTTGATCTTGCCGTTGGACGGCGTCGGGGCGTCGGCTCCGATCTGACTGCAAGTCTGCGCCAACAAAGCTAGTGGGCTGTTCTTAGCGTCCAACTGTGAACATAAATAAAAAAAAAAAAAAAAGGAACTCCTAAAGATGGCCACAGGAAAAACGTCTAAAAACGAAAGTCAGGTACACGTGTTGTTGTTGGAGAACGTTGGTGGATAATACCTAAGGCGGAGTCACCACATATGGCGGTCAGTGTCCCTGCTATGGCTAATAGAAAAAAAAAAAAGGAACTCCTAAAGATGGCCACAGAAGGACGTGGCGCCATTCTATTCGGTCAACTTCTTTTACTGTCTGAAAATAAATTCCAGAGGCGATCGCATCTCAAATAAAACGCATTCTCCATGCCGTTATACAGACCACCGCGTTACGCTGCGGTTAATAATTTGCGCTCGAATCGAGGCGTCAAGGACGCGATTTTCGACGGATTCGATCTCCGTGCCTGTAATATTCGAACACGCCGAAATTTCGCGTTTCGGGAGAATCCAATTCCGCGAGAAAAAATCAAGCCGTATCGACCGAGTTCTGCCGCACGCGGTTTTTCTTTCTGTAGCATCCGTTTTCACGGTATTATTGTTATTCTATTTTTTTTTTTTTTTTTTTTTTTTTTTTTTTATCATATATCGCGCTATAATATTTTCCCGACTAAAAACACAACACGTACTCGTTTTCAATTGTCGTCGAGATTCGTCCCCCCCCCCCCCCCATAAACGTTTTCCCGATCGTAATATCTATATATAGACGTATATAATAAAAAGCAACACAACATTCCGTGGAACGTGTCCCGAGGCGGGCGAGGGGTGAACAAAATTCATTTATATCGGAAATCCTTTCGTTCGTAATAATACCCAATACGAATAATAATAATCCGCACACGCTCCCCGCCACCGTATATACTTCCGAGAGTATAATATTAAACTGCACACGTATTATTGAAGAAAAAACACATTTTTATTTTTCGAGTCGGATTCGCCACGGTTTTCAGTTTGTTCACGTGCTTCGCGTCTCCGACCTCTTGCGCGCAACATTACGGGTTCGCGTCACGTGCCCGCCGTTTATCGCCTGTTTCTATCCACTTTGAATGCGATATTTTCTCGCGCCCCGCACCCGTCTCGGCGGGACAACGCGCCACCGAAAACGAGATTTTTCGAAACGATAATAATACAATATAGTCGAGTGTCGGCCGGCCGTCGTCTTCGCGAAATACACGCAAAATACAAACGAAAAAAAAAAAAATGCAGTGCCGGAGTGAATTTATCGCGTTCCAAAAGGCAGTGTTGCGGATCGCGGCCCCGAATCTAAACGGCCGCCACTACCGAACTATTCGATAGATCGAATCCTAGACATTATTCGAATATATTATTGCGAAAACCCTTTAATAATGACTCGACTCGTTTTCCTGGACCGAAAAATCGTTTGTTCGGTCATGGCGGGAACGGCGTGTTCCAATTGTTTAGAAATATTCGATAATTCGTGTAAACCGAAGAAAACTATCGGCAATTAACTAATCGGAAGTGCCCGTCGCTATACTAAACACGAATGTCAAACACTGCCGATGTCTGATGGGAATCGCTCGTACGTTCGACCGCCACAAGCCCGCTAAACTATACATAAATATAACGTCTGAAAAGTCCGACAGTTTAAAAAAAAAAAATAAGTCCATAGAAATCCGCAGTACACGCGTATTTGACCCAGTCGCTTCTTCCCACTATATCTATCCCCGTCTACTCTGCGCGTCCCCTTCAAATTAAAAACCACCTCCCCTATATTATTACGCTAGATTATCTCTAGTCGCTTTTTCATTGCCGTTATTTTCTGCCAACCCCCCCCCAACCTCCCGCCTACACCCGTGCACACCCCGCCTACTTCCTCGACAATGTTTCTCGCCGCACGCGCTGTCGGGCATTTCCGCGGGATTTCAAGCGGCGTCAGTTCCGCACCTGCAACGGCGGTAACGGCTTTTGCACAATAGCGAATCGGACCGACGCCGTTCCTATAAGGCATTTTCCTTCCGGCCCACCTTTCCTTCCACACCCCCCCCCCCCGTATTAATTCTGTCGTCGATTTTCGTTCGATATGCGAAACTGCAACGGCCCGCGTAAACCGAACGGGCGCCGCCGCCTGCAGACCGGACGCGCGCGAAACACGTCCGCTTTTGATTTAAGGTTATTGCGATATTATGCGCGTGCATTATTATTATTTGTGTTACTATAATCGCATGCACACGCCTATTTTATACGCCGAACACCGGGCCCCCGATAATCGTCCGGTCTCGTCCTGCAGTCGTTGTCCGGGCGGGCACAATGCAATATAATCGTACGTGCGAGAGTTTAATAAAAAAAAAAAAAAAAAAAAAAAAATATAAAAACCGGCCGACCGACCAACACGGGCTGTTAAAATATTACCGCGGCGTGCACGGACGGCGAGAGGACGACGTAAAAACCTACGGCGACACGAAAACGAATTCGACGGAAACACGCGGCTGAGAAATCGACGCGACCCCGGCGGAATTCTCGATCGCCCGCTTTGTTCTCCGCCGTCGTCGTTGTTATTCATTAGCGGTCTTCGAAACCCGGAGAAATTAATATTCTCGCGTATGGGATTGGACGTGACGACAGGTTCCCGGCCGGTTTGCCGTCACTAAATAATAATGCCGTCGCACCGCATAATACGTGCGGCGTACGCTCTTCCGGCCGTCCGGACGCGTTACACGCTCGTTGAATACCCTTAATTAATTTCCCCTGCCCCCCCCCTCCCTCGGTCGGTTTTCGGTTAGGTTCGCGGGGGCACCGGCGACGTTTCGAAACGCGCGGACGCTCGATCGCACGGATAGAATGCGCGCGTTCCGATATTCGGTACGTGTGTCTACGTTAGAAACAACGAAATTCCAGATACTCTTATTACGGTGCGGGGCGCCGTTTAAAACGAAAAAACACGGTTCTTCAAACGCGTGTCCGATGCGTTTATAATGCTCGAACGCGTATCGTTGAGATACTTGCGTTACTCGAGATACGGCCCGACCCCGGTCGGCGCGTATCCGGCGTTCAGTTCCCCGGCGGACATTTTTCACATAATTTCGAATAGTAGAGCCCGTTCGTCAGCGGACGTATTCAGTGGGCGGAGGAGCGCGTCTAGGCATCTAGCCCGTACTCAAATGTTAGATTCGGTGATAAAACGCATTATACGTATTTTACCGAAGGTACCGCCGTACATTCCGTTGATTACGGACCGAGATTGCGGCGACATGCGTGTTAGTGAATGGAAACAATATTTACGTTTGGATTTTTCGGACAGTACTCCAAAACCAAACGCTGTTGAAGCTTTCAAAAAAAAAAAAATACATCATGCATTTTCGACTAGATTTACCTACGATCTAAATGGGCAACTTTGTGTACTATATTCGTTGTTGCAACTGCAACTGTTGCCAGGAGTTTTTCCGAACCAACGAGTAAATTGTTTTCTATTTGTCTTAATGACATAACTACGACTCTCCGGACCTTTAGCAAAATGTTTAATTGTGACTAGGCCAGTGATGGTAGATTGGCCCATAGTGAAATAATTCCTATATACGCCACTGCCGTTTAAATTATCCCAGTAGTTATTTGTATTGTATTGCTTTGATTCGTTCAGAAACATATAAGCCGACCGTGAGAAAAAAAAAAAAACGAGAAAAAGTTTTTAGTATCAAAAAGAAAATTCTGACGAGATTAAAACGGGCGGGACGAGCTGCGCGAGACTCAGGATAAGCTAAAGAAAACAGAATTCGTGGGGTAAAACGTCGTTCAACGAGGCCTAAGAACGAGTTGGGAAGATAAAATAGATTGCGAAATTATATTTGCATAGAACCGGAACGAAAGAGCAACGGATAGAGAAAGTCGGAGGAACGGGATGTGAGATGTGATACATTTTGAAGGCCTATAGACGCCAGAGAAAAAGACGAAGATATTGTCCATTTGAACGAGTGAAATATTGTTATAATCTTATCGAGATTGTACCGTTCATACGGTAACTCGAAAATGTCGCCAGCGTACCCGTTAAAATGTTATTTATTTCGTTTGTCCACAGTAATATTTTTGTCATATTTGTGATATATTTTCGTTTTCCGGATAGAGCTCCGAACACACGCAAATAATAATGTGATCCTGAAAAAAGTATCGAGAAACTTCAAGAAAAGGAAACGCCCTCGGCCTTAGAAAGAAAAAAAAAATTGGAACTATTGAGTTTTCCGGTGCTCGCGGATCAGAGTCTCGTCGAACGACTGGAAATACCATAACGGGAGTGAAAGAGGGGGAGGGGTGGAATTTGACGACGGGAATTCGTTAGAGAGGAAAAAAAACAACAATCGTCAGACGAATATAACGTATTGCGGTGACGAATAGTTCAGATACGTCGTTCCGTTCCGCCATCGCGTCAATTTGGTCATCGACGATTTGTTTGTCTTTTTTTATTTTATTTTTCTTTTTTTATACTCGCATTGTCTACGCCGACGTCGGAATAGTTTCGTTACGTTCGTTCGGTATGCGCGTCTAAAAATACTGCAGAAATAGCAGAACTATAAAACGGTCGGAATGCTCGCGCGCGCGCGCGAGCACACTGTGCACCGCATACCCGCGGGTTCGGATGTTCTGCGGCCCTCGCGGGCGAACGGATCGCTGTCGGTGCAGAAACGAAAATAATTATCGCCGTAAGTATCTGTACAGCTACACTGAAACTGTGTTTGCGCAGTGAACGTAAAATCCTGGCCCGTGGCCGGTCAATATCGACGTGGCCAGTGCGGGGTAATCAATCGATCAACCGGAATGTTCGGTCGTATCACCAGACTAAATACACCGGAGTTACCGCGCGTGAATCGGATGTTCAATTCTGCGTTTTACGTGCGCGGTCTGCACCCGTCGAACCCCCGAATATTGATAAATCGCGCTATCTGTAATGTAATAAACTCGTAGCTACGTGCGCGTACACGTGCACGTGACGGTGGAAACCTCCAGGAGCCGAAGACTACCGGGTCTCCGTAGTAATGAATCACTGAAAATATCGTGTACGGTACAACGCTGTTTACCGATGTACGAAAAAGATACGCTTCCGACAAGAGTATATTTTTATTTTTTTTTGGGAAGGAGGGGGGAAGTCGATCAGACAGAAGGAGTGGCTCGTACAAAAACGAGTGAATTATTAGCGCCTATCGATTTGAAAAAAAAAAAAAAAAAAAAGAAAAACAAGAGTATTCCGATATGGGAAGAGAGGAGAGGAAGTTCAACACGACGACTGCATCGTCGCCGTTTAATACGATTATTGTGTCGGAGAGAGAGAGAGCGAGAGAGAGAGAGAGAGAGAGAGAAAAACCTGCGCTAACCACTCGACAACTTCTTTCGGGCTCCTGATATACTATATATACATATATGTATACACAGTGAGATAAAACGCAAGAGATAACATGACGTATCCACTACGTTGTGCGTGGAATCGTGCGCACTTGGCTGCGGTCGGCAAATGGCCTTCTCGTCGGGTCGGATGAAAAATTAACCGATCGCGTGATCGCCGGTACAGACCGCAGTTGTATAAACTCATGATACGCGTACACGAACCCCGCACGACGGCCGGCCAATCGAACCGATTGACACACGTTCAGAAAACGGATGTTTTTTTTCCCGAAACTTCTATTTCGTCCGTGTATATTTTCGTTTACCGACGAACGTTAACTACTTCCCGTCCACCGGCGCCGCCGAACGTCACGTGTCCGTTTGCTTTGTCCGCGGCACAGTCTTGTCTCGGTGCGGCTCAATATCCGTTATTAACAGTACCCCCGGAGCAGAGTATTTGCCAACGTTTACAATGTATAGCCGGCGACACCCGGCGAAGAACCGGTGCCACCGAGTGTTCGACGCACGTGCCCCGGGGCCAGTTTTTTATTCGTCGAAAACCGAAATGTACACCGACTACACTCGTAATGTGGGGTGGGGGTACCTACTGCGCATTCGGAGTTACAAAAAGTCGCGGCGCTGTTCGGATTAAATGTTATACGTTTTGAGGGCGGATTGCAACAATACGTACGCAAAATTATGGACGTTTATAATTTACAAGACATTTTAATATTATTGCAACGCCGACGTCGTTCTTGAACATTTCCTAAACGTTCATAAACACTTTAGTCAGCATTTCAACGCCGTTGAAACGGGACTTTGGCAAACGCCATCGACGGATTCGCGTGACGTTGCGCGGATATCGCCGTGCTGCGACTCGTTTCGATGGACATTAATAATTTCGGGGTTTTCCTCGTTCGGGCACCGTCCGCGGCGGCGGCGGATCCTGTTCGCCGGGTTTTCCGTTTAGGCGGACGTTTGGGTTAAGGCTCGTGCAATTGTCGCCCGGCCGAAATGCCGCGGAGGAAAAAAATTCCGCGCGACCCGGTGACGGGGGTCGGCGGCGGCGTGTCGCCGGAGGAAATGGGAGGACGGTCAAAACGGGAGGGGGGAGGGAAAAGCACTCCGTGCGTGTGTCATTATCGAATACACACGAGCGCGCGCGTCGCGACGCGAGACGAGCCGTGTAATCGATTTGCCGCCGGCGCGCGGAAACCGCACGTCTCGGGCGTCCTCGGGCCCGAGAAAAGGAGACGGGTAGGACCACAGAGAAAAGGACACGCTAGAGGTAAACATAATATGGGAAAATACGCATTTTTTTTTCACTCTCTCTCTCTCTCTCTCTCTCTCTTTCTCTCTCTGTGTGTCGTACGTTCTTGTGCGGGTTAGGTAGGTACGTACGAGTCTGTTCGGAATCAATATCGCAGACTTTTGCAAATAAATCAAGTGTCGCGTCTTTTTTTATTTCGTGTTTTTTTTTTTCGCCACCCCTTAAACGGGGTATAGGTAATCGCGGGACTTCGCCCTCCGCTCGCGTTTCGCTACAAAATACGAAAACTTCCGACGGCGGCGCCGTGTAAAACTTCCGACTAAATAACATGTACGTCGTAACGCGGACGCCTAATTCTCGACAGTTTACGCCGACTACTGCGAAACGGCAGAATAAAGAGAAAAAAACGCCGCTAAAAGTCCCGGCTCTGAAACGGCATAACGTCTTTTTTTTTTTTTTAAATTTCCGACAATCTCGTTCAGTTTTTATCAGCGATTTTGTTGCGAATACATTTTTTGTTCTCTATCGAGTCGCCGCGATTTGAAACGATGCCGGTCGTTTCCGGAACCCCAAACACACAAATGCCCGGTTTTGAAGCCACGACAATCACTTCATTTCCGACATTATAATACCGGCATTTGATAAACGACAGAGGTGAGGGTTTTTTTCATTTGTTTGAGCATAACGCACTAGGTTAGTATAATAATAACAACACGACGAGAGAAAAATGACGGTTTCGTATATGATATTATTGTAGGCGAATTCAAATAGTTTCAAAACTATTATCGCTACGTATACAATAATATAGATCTCGTCACGGTATAGACGGTGGACGTCGGGACCGTTACAAAATATACAGAAATAAACGAATTAACGAGCATATTTTAATTCATATTTTTTTTTATTATATCCGTATTTCGCCCCACCCCCCCCCGCGCCGCGGTTTTCTATCGACTGTTCTATTCTACTGATTTTCAAGACGGTAGTCAGTGGCGACGGCGTGAACGCGTTTCTTATGAAGCGACCGCGTCGTTATTAGGCGGACATGTGTGTGGCACTTTAACACACAGCATTTTAAACTTTCTCATTTGTTCGATACATTCAATTCTCTATGACTCATGTTAAAAAAATAATATTTTTTTTTTTTTTATATAATTTGAAGTACTAATAACAGTCTTTCCGGACAAAAGATATCAAATGACCTTCCCGCGAAAGCAGCGTTAGTGTCTTTAATTTAGTAAAAACAATTTTGTTTTAGATCTATTAGATCCTTTGGAAGTACGAAAACACACGTTCGTTATTTGATCCCGATTATTTTTTGGCTCGGGCTTAGGTTTTTTACTGAAATTGCTATGTACGAAAGAAAAAAACTTCACGCCGCCATCGGATAGAATGTAATATACGTAAATTATTCAAATCTAATTCGCCAAACACACGTTTCTTTTCCCCCGTCAACGACAAATATATTCTAAATACATAAATATGAGACTTCAAAATATGTTTGGCTAGGTTCCGTTAAAACGACTACTCGATTTACTGAACGAAAAAAAAAACAGATACTATTAGGTATAGAAAAATCACGAATTTTAAAACGGACCGGCGACAATAACCGTTTGATTCTAATTAAGTGCGCCAAACTAATTTCAACATACTTTTTGCGCATTTTACAAAAGAAATAGAAAAAAAAAAAAAATCATAATAATATATCGCTTTGTACTGACCGACGGCAGAGGAGTCAAGTAATCCGGTCTCAGGTATTGGTTTTCGTTGGTCATTATCATGGTTTGCGCCGCACGTCATGCACTCGAAACGAATTCTCGGTGGCGAGCGTGTAGAGTGTGATGCGTTAATAAAATCACCACCGGTCGGGTGATTGAACGCAAAAAAAAAAAATACAAAATAAATATACGAGAAGCGTATTTTTTTAGAGGGGAAGAAAAAACGAACCGACAACGGGTCACAGGACACGGCACGAGACGGACGCGCGACTGTCGTCAAAACGCAATAACTGTTTCCGCGGCGGCGTTCGGACGCTGACTGAACTGCGTACGGACGTCGTGGAACGGCGGTGGTTCGGTACTACACTGACGGAACTCTGGCCGGCGTCGCGCCGGGCACGAGGGCCCGGTGTCGGCGCGACGGCGACGACGGCGGCCGGACGGTGGCTCCATCTGCCGAGCGTGTCCGGTGCTCGGCAGGCCCCCCCCCGTGCGCCGGAATCACTTAGCGCGTGACGTTATCGTTCTCGACACCCTCGACCGCGCGCGCCGTGTGGTCACGGTGCGGCGGCCGCGCCGACGTCGACGAGTACTCGGGGCGACCGCGATTTTCGCCGCGATAACCGACGACAACGACTGCCGCCGGACGGGGAAGAAAATCGTGTCGCGTATTAAGTGAAACGGGGAGCGAACACGGGAACGAATGGTTTTTTTTTTCCTTTTTTACGTTTTCGTCGGCCACTGTCACCCGTACATGATACGTTGTCACGAGGTAGAAATGAAAAAAAAAAAAAAAATAAAAATAAAACTTCCGAACATCAAGTTTTCGAATATCGTGCAAAGCCTCCGGTATGATGAAAGAAAGAGTATGGGTGCAAACTGTACGCGCGTAAACGGGAAGGTGGGTGGACATTTGTTTTAGCCCCCGAACGTAAAATTTCATACACGCGCCACCGGTGCAAATGTTGACGATAATCGTCAAATCCACGGCCTTCCGAATACTTATACAAATTGAACTACCCTCTAATGCTATGCTCTGTACCTTCCCGTCTTTTTTTTTTTTTATTACTTGTATTTTGTTTTTAATTCACGTGGGGCTATATTATTATTACAAATCGCTATACGACCGTTCGTAGGGGTGAGAGGCGGGAACGTCATCGGTCGTATATCATAATAATTTATTATATACGAACGCATTATGTTAATGCGGAAGGATATAACAACCGCTCGTGGTTTATGTGCGCAGTAAGTTTATATAGGGTGGTCGTATTCTTTCGAGCACTCCGCCACCGTCGGTTCGTATATTTGATGTTATTGTTATTATTATTGTTACACGGATTTATTATAGGCATACGGTTGTTATTCAGACCACCTCGCCGGCCTCTTTGTAAAATTGATGAAACAACAAAAAAAAACGATTATTTTTCAAAGTGTCCCGAAACGTTCGAGGGGAGTAATGATAAAAAAAAAATCGATTCGTCGACAATAATTTTTCAATGAAAAGAAATGTCATTTATAACTAGTCGTTAATCTTTATATTATATTTCTTTATTCTATAGGTACTTAAGCATCACTATCAACTGCACTCCGCTCAGAATCGTTTTTTCGTTAACAACGGTTTATCGTTGCTTGCAGATATAGATGCATTCAATTCCCTTCAGTATCCTACCTTCTTAACTTCCCACCTACAACATTTATACCTTACACGTGGGTTTTACCCACGTGTGAATTATTATTTTTAAATATTGATAGCGGTTTCAGGTCAAAATATCTCCAACAAAATATCTTCAGTTAATAATATCCTCAGTAAGAAATATCTCCAATAAAAAAAAAATGTCTAACAAAATATGTCCAGTTAAGAATATCTCCAGTAAAAATATCTTTAATGGAAATATTTTTCCTGAAAAAAATCTGTTTTAAATCTGTTTGGATTTATATTAATATTTGTATTACATATTAATTTTAGATTGTGAGCAACGTCTCATAAAAAAAATAAAATAAAGTTTCGATTGAACAAAAATTAAATAAATATTTTAAAAAATAATTAAATTTAATGAGCATCAAAATTAACTCTTGCTGCAGTATTCGTATCATACGCCATACCTAACCCTAGGGTAGGACCTCGTAATTGTGAAAAATATTTCAAATAATACTATGCATTACTAATATTGTGATTAATTATTATTTCCTGTGGGATATTTCTATTAAAGATATTTTTATAGGAGACATTTTCTACTGAAGATATTTTAACCAGTTATCGTTGATAGGAGAGAAAGTGTAGATTCTGGTAGTCAGTATTAAAATGTTATAACATTATAAACCAACAAATATCTATATTTAACTATTTAAGGAAAATAGAAATAGGAAATATACGATAAGGTGTACATGTGTTTTTAAAATGGTGAGTTTCCCATAGCATTTTTAAAACCTGGTGCCTCTATTAGGAATAATAGGCACTATCTGGAAATTGTCTGTCGGAATATTCCGTTTCGCATTGGAATCGGTTTAACGACAATAGAATAGCGCGGTGTTAATTTCGGTTGTGGCGACGGTGGCGAATAATGATGATAATAAACCTAACCACTTTTCGGGTTATTACCGTACCTCGTCCGGTCGACGTGATCCTATAAAGTCGTAATAACAATAATACCTCTGTCGGCGTGCGAACCGGATATTAAATAATAATTTGTCCGGCAATTTGCTGCGAGGACTATATGTGAGGCACGCGCGCGTTGGTTTGCTTAATATTTCGTGATGAGCGTATGTATTATGATCGTGGTGAGTGGGTATAATTTATTATATTGTAATTCGCCGCTCGACGAGTGTTTGATGAAAAAAAAAAAAAAAAAAAAAAAAAAAAAACAGAAAAAATCGTTAAATAAATACGTGGTTTAGGAAAAAAAATAAACACCGTCCTCGAAGCGCTGTGGTGTATATTTTCGCTGAAAATTATTTTTTTTAAAAAATGAATATCTATTGATGAAATAATAACCGTTTCACACGGGCAAGAACCGTACATATACGTATACGGATTATTTGTGATATCGAAAAAAATATGGCGAAATAACGTTTCAAAATACGAGTTATTTCTTAGGTTTTTAAAGCGAAAAATGTTCCACGTCATGTTTTTCAGAGGGCAATAGGGCGGAATTTTTACGTTACACATAAATTGTAGCATTTAGATTGAAATCAGAGTTTAAACACATAAAATAAACATACAAAATGTAAAGAGGAGAACATACTTTGGTTAGTCACATTTTGTCAAATTGTGCTTTTTACGTCATCGATTATGTGGGAAATTTCATGACGGATCAATTGATGACACTGAAATTATTGTAAATCTCCATTTTAATGTTTTAATAATTTTATATATGACCTTGTGCGTTTATACGTAGCTGCAGGTATCAAGATAGGAATATCCGTTAATGCAAAAACGTATAAGTCAATAGTATATTATTCAGTTTTTTTGTTTGTTTTCCAAAAAAATTAAATATTTGACTTATACCTTTTCTCACGAACGTCGTCCAGACGAGTGCAGTGCTTTGCTGTTCTACTAAAATATTTTCAAACAAAAAATTCCTCTCTATTATAAACTTGAATTTCAATCTAAATACCGAAATATGTATATTCTATACATAACGGAATTTTACAATGTTGCTAGCACCGAGACAGTAAATGCCGGTTCGGCGTCTTTTCAAGGTGCACCGGAGTTATCAGAAATGCGGCGTTACGAATGCGTATAAATTGGAGTTCTGTTAGAACAATTTTCTGGTTTTCGAAAAACGACCAAAAACGCTCGTCGAAACCATTGCTGATGTGTAAACTATAAACTACAATGTTTGCATCGGTTGTCGAGGTCATTAACACTGGACTGTTAGTGGAATTGAAGGGTCCAGTGCAACGACTTCTAGCTACGTCCGCTTTTGACAAATTTCCAGGAGAGAAAAAAAGTTGTTTTAATGATTTAATATTTAGCATACACTACATATTTATATAGAAAATATGTAGTATTCCTCTATATTTATTCACATTATGTATTACAATTACAGTTCTAATAACAGAGACAATACTATGGACATAGAATAGTATACAGTTATGGACTTACCTTGTTTCTTACTCATAATTTTTAATTCTTTTTTTCAGTTAAAGAAAAATTTCAGTTAAATCAGTACAATAAAAACCATGTATGTCCGGACATACCATGATTTTGAGCTGAAATTTAAAACCAGCTAAGTATATTTTGCTAATAACACCGTATCTAATAATCGAGCACGACTGTTTGTAATATCGCAATGCACAGCATGTTTTTTTTATTCTGAAATCACAATAAAACGATTTTTCGAAAATTTGGACATAGCCGGTTGTTGCTCTGGACCCTTATCAAATGTAATGTACGTATTAAATATATTTGCTCACGTCTGTAGTTATAAACTGCGATCTATACCAATGCCACGTATCCAGGTAAACACAGGGGTTATGACCACACCTTCTATTGACCGTATTAACTTATTTTTAGAAACGACATACCCCTCCTCCCCCCGTGGGCTGTCTCAGACTAACGAACTGGCAACAAAATTGCATTATAGGAAAGTAAATTATGACGTTTATGTTACAATTGTACAGTTTAGACGCAAACAACAATATTTAAAGAAGACAATATTTCAGCGGAGTAAGTATTTCCTAAACAAAAATTATCGCGCAAAAGTTACAGCTATTTAAAAAAAAAAAAAAACTAACATGGCTATTGGCTACAACTTTTTGTGTGAATATTTCTTAGTAAAAAGCTACTTACAGCCCTCGAGTATTCTCCTTTTTATTAAATATAGTTATTCGTGTTCAAACTCTAATTTCAATCTAAACGCCAGTTATAGTTAGACTGAGAGAGTAGATGTGGATACGGCATCCTGTTGAAATATATTTTCTTCGTTACCATAGAAACGCGGTGCGTATTATGTGATTAGTGCGATAACTGGTGCTTTATCAGTTTAATATGTAACGTATTTTCAATTATTATGTTTAGGGCCGAGGGATTTCTAGTATAAGTATTTAAAAGAGTGTCTTTTTAGACAAATATTAAAAAAACTAAAAGTCCTAAGCCCTAATCGTAATTATGTGACTTGTTGCGCGACAAGGACCACTGTTGAAAAAAAATAAATAATCTAGAAATTAAAATTAGTCCGTCAAAAAATACCGCGACCGTTTCTAAATAAAACATCGTACCGCTCTCGAAAATAGGTTCGGTAACCGCTGCGTTATATTGTTTATTGTTCTATCGTTTCGGTCGTTGCAGATTCTGCCGAGAGTTTGATTCGTCTCCGTATACGACGACGACGGGGAAATAAAATTTTATCCGTATTCGT